CATTTTGTAGAGAAGTCAGAGAGGAACTGAGTGTGATTCACCGCAGGCTGACGGGGCGCTCGGGCCGCCCCTGCAGCTGGCCCTTCGTCCTCAGGGACCCTGCAGTCACCGCCCGGCCTGGCCCAGGGCTCTGGGGGGCCAAGCTGGTGAGGACGGCGCCTTGGGCTGGAGCCTAGGATGGTAAGACGTTCCCATTCTTTGATTTAGGTGAGACCTGGTTGATTTGCATCTGAACCCATTCTGTCTTCTTCTCGGTAATGTTCTCAGTGTGTATAGAGTTTTCTAACCTGTTTATGCCTTCAGAGTTCTTTTTCGAGTCCCCACTAAACTTAGCATTGACCTTGAGCAGCCCAAAGAACTTGGTGGTTTGCATGTGGCCCGGATCTAAAGGGCTAGCCTAGAGTTGCTCACTGGCATCACTCGGATTTTCATAGATTTTGCTCCAGATGCAAAAAGCGCTCCCTCCACCTGACGTCTGTGGACTAACCCGGGGCGAGGGCAGTGAAAATGAAAACTTGCCCCGGGCACACTTGAGATCGCACTCTTGAACTTGAAATCTAGAGGCCCGGGAAGCCCGCCGCCCAGCCCCTGCCCCTCACACACCGGCCCGCCTCCGTGAAGCCTTTCGGACATGCCGCCAGCTCAGGGGTATTTTTAGAAGAGGCTGTTCCTACAAACGAGGAAGTCTGGCAGATGGCTCTTCCGCCCGGATCCTTTTTTATTTTTTCTAGTTTTCCCCCCATACCGTGTGGAGAGCAGCGGCCAGGCTCCGTTCTCTGAGGACAATGGGGGGAAAAGCCGCTCTGAAAACACCAGGCAGCAGCTGCAGGGCCCGGAGTGTCTAAGGACGCGGTGCCACCGGCCCGGCATGGCCCCCTCCTCGCCGGTGCCGGTGGTTGATGGGCAGGGGGAGGCAGGGGAGGAAGTCTGAGCCAGAGCGAGTCGGTTATCACTCTGCGTGGGCAAAGACATCTGTGCGGGGCCGTGTTCCCCCGGCCCTGATAAGAATGTTACTCACCACCCGGAGAGGAAAGACCAGCACAAGTGGTTTCAGCCCATTGAAACCACTTCCTTCACTGACATGACATCAGATTTCATCGTAGGGGTGGTTTGCGCCAGTTTTGTGAAAAACAAACTGTCATCCACAAGGGGAAGGTGCCCTTAAAGAAACCTAAGGATAGCCTTGGTGTGCGTTTTGCGTGTGTTCAGATTGCCTTTTGGCCCTAGGTCTCACAGAAGACTCTCTGTGGACCCAGAAGAGGAAGCCCTTTCCAGAGATTTTTTTTTTTTTTTTGAGAAATCCATTGCACAGGCTTCCCCTTTGATTTTTAAATCTGATGTGGTTTTGCTCATTCTCGGATTAAATTCTCTAAGAGTGCAGATTACACATGTTTCCAGGATGGAAGGTTTCTGATGCGTCTCGCACACCAGCATCATCACTCCCAAAATTTTGCTCTCCCTCCCCACTTACACCGGAGTGTTCTGCATGCCTATTGGGTGTTCTTTCCCTGGTGGGATCCTGGGCTCCTCGTGCCTCTTCTCATAGAGAAACAGCAAGAATGTCCCCGGAAGCCATGACGACATGAAATTGTGGCTTAGAAACTAAGATGTACCCAAGTCTGCTCCAGGAGGCTCCCCACTTCCCTTTACACACACACACACACACACACACACACACACACAGGATCTGCAGAGAATGCATCCTGCAATCCTAGGAACACTCTGATTCTGTCTGCATTCACTTGGTGAGTCTTCAAAACTTACTTTTCCCTCCGAGTGACGAGATGCTGAAGAACTCACCTCCAGAGTCAGGAGAGTCGTCAGGTCTGAGAAATAACCTTTTCCACCCACAGGGCTGTTCTGTGATGGGTCAGCCCTCACTGGGCTTGCCAGTCCCGCTGGGGGCCTCACGGAAACCCCACTGGGTCATCCCTGGGTCCGTGCCCTTTGGAGGCTCACAGACAGGCCAACAGAGATGCCGGGCCATTCCTGGGCTCATTCAGGCTCTATAGGTTTTTGTTGCTCCTAGAAGTGTTCGTTTTCAGTTTATGCAATATTTCAAGCATACAATAAAGGTCAAAAACTCATTTAGCAGACCTTCGTGTATCTCCCTATGATTTTTCAAGTATTAACATTTTGCCATTATATTAGGTTTTTAAAACAAAATATTACAGGTACAGTGGAAAAATCTCTCCTTACTTAATTTTCGTTTTTCTCCTTGCTACCCAGAGTAACCACTAACTTGAAGTTTATGAGTATTATTTCCACTATATTACATACATGTGACATAGAGAAAATATATAACATTGTCTTAAAAATGTCTATAAATGATATATCTACTTAATACCACTTGTATACTTTATTCGAGTCTTTTGAAAGCTACTTGTAATACTCATTTTAAGCATAGTTTTCACATTGGTACATTAAAATCAAGTATATTTATTTTTTAATGCTATATAAGATTCCATTTTAAGATTATACCACAACATAACCATTTCTTTCTGATGGACATTGGAGTTATAGCATTCTTTCAAGAAACACATAATCCCTATTTTATATATACTACATTATATCATTGAAAAGAGAGAATGTTTCCCAATTCATTTTATGGCTCTGATTTAACCTTTATACCAAAACTAGACTAGAAGGGTACCAGGAAGAAAAGGAGCGGGCTAACCTCACATTTGAATGTAAATGTAAACATCTTCAGTTAAATATTAGTCACACTGAATCCAGCCATGTGTAGCAAATTAAAGTGTGCGAGTTATTAACGTGACTCATCCCATGAACAGAATAAAGGAGGGGAAACAATAATTTTTGTGTAGATGTAGAACAAACATTTGATCAAGTTCAATAACTACAAATGACTTAAGGATATGAAACACTTCAAAAACCTGGATAGAAACACTTCCTTAACCTGATGAAGAATATTGACCAACACTCCCAGCAAGAGTGCACTTGGTGTTGAAGCATATTGTGTAGTGTCTCCCCCGGGAGCTTATTATAAATGCAGACACAGAGTCCACCCTGTGGAGTTCCCTCATTGAGTTCTCTCTTTTCTTTCAATGATTGCTATTACTGTAAATGTGTGTGTGTGTGTGTGTGTGTGTGTGTGTGTACTCATACATGCACGTGTGTATTTTTTTAGTTTTATCTATTTATATACATTGAGTGTTTTTCTTATGTTTGTGGAATGGGGCTATGTCAGCTCAGCAGCTATGGTGCTGGAATTTCTCTCTCGGCAAAATTCTGAGCCTGATATCCAAGAGTCAGCAGAGACCACTCTGGAGGGGGCGGAGTAGTTGGGCTGCCATAGGGTTGGCTCCTCTCCTACACCAGGGAGTTGTTGCGATTCACACCTTATTTTGGCTTCATCTGAGGAGCCACTATGATGGATCTGGTGAGGATAAAAATATTGTAGGAAATCTCTATGATTGTATTTTACCATAGCCCTTCCTAAGGATTTGATATTTCCAAGATTACTACAGTGACATTGAAATATAAATATCTGTTAATCATACTATTGCCATCAATGTCACACTCCTATTTAACAGCTTTAAAAGCATGTTTCATGGTGGTTCTCAGGGTTGAAGATGAAGAGAGAGATGTTTCTAGTAAGCATTTTTCTTGGTAGCAAACAGACTTTCTCTAAACTTTTCTGTTAATGAACAAAGGATTCCAGTGACTCTGAAGAGCTACCCAGGGCCTGGCCATGCTGAGCCAAAGAACAATCAATACATTTTTGACTGGAAGGTCACATGCATTAAATAAGGCAGTTCTGATGCCAAATCAATCCTGCATTGTATTTTTCCTACAGCAAATATTGAGATATAGATCCGCTGTTCGGGGAGCAAGAATGTCATCAGGAAATATCAGTTCAGACAAATCTGGGTTACCGCCCGCAGGGAAGGACCTGCATTGATTGGACTCTGTCTCACTCTGTGGTGAAAATGTCAGGTCAGAGTGAATATTCATGTAGCCCTTGGAAAGAGGGGAGGAGGAATCAATAACACTAAACACCCTATCTGATAATGGAACTGTTTTCTCCAAGGCCAAGTCCTTTGTTGTGAACTTGGTATTCCTGTCCCTGGTTTGTTGGTAATGTTGTCTTAGAAATGCAACAAAAAGATTTCATAGGAAGCCTAAGGGCAGATGTATTCCATAATTCTGGACTAAGGGTTATGTTAACATGGTTTTGACTAGGCATTGCATTAGAAGTCTGGTTAAAATTTAAATGAGCCCTGACCGGTTTGGCTCATTGGATAGAGCGTCAGCCTGCAGACTGAAGGGTCCCAGGTTCGATTCCGGTCAAGGGCATGTACCTTGGTTGCGGGCACATCCCCAGTAGGGGGTGTGCAGGAGGCAGCTGATTGATGTTTCTCATCCATGTTTCTGACCCTATATCACTCTCCATTCCTCTCAGTAAAAAAGTCAGTAAAAAAATGTGTTTTTTTTTAAATAAAAAAGTTTAAAATTTTTTTAAATGATGCTTCTCTTAATTCCAAGGAACAACCTAGACTCTTTGAAACTATGTCAAGAGAGTACTGGGCAAAAAAAGAAATTCTATGTTTTTAGTCTTGATTTGCAATTTACTTGTTTTGTGATCTTGCAAAAGCTACCCAGTCTCTATATACCTCTATACATTGGCTTGTAATATAATATTCTATTTTTCTTTGTAGAGTTGTTGCACAGGATATAATAGGTGACAAAAATGTGTTAGAAGACATAGTCAGAATATGAAAGCAGTTGCTCCAAATCATGGTTTTGACATTTGTCTAAATTTAATGCTCTCACCTCTTCTAACCACCCACGGAACCTCCTGCCATGTATGTGCATACAGTTTCAAAAGAGCCCCTGTTCTCTCTTCCCAAAATCATTTTTCTAAAACTTGCTGGCATAGGTCAGGTTTCAAGAGAGCATAGTGCGTTCATGGTCAATAAACCTGGTTTTAACTTGAAACTAAATTAACCACTCTCATTGTTTCTTCCAAAAATTTTCAGGCACCTTTTGAAAATGAACAAGAGCAGCTCTGACTTGGAGAAAGGGAGCCAGGGCTCCGCGGAGAGCCTCAGCCCGTCCTTCAGGAGCGTCCACGTCAGCTTCACCACGGGCTCCACGGACAGCCTGGCCTCGGACTCCAGGGCCGGCAGTGATGGAGGTAACAGACTTGACCTTGACAGGGAGGCTTAGGTTCTCCTGAGTCTGTAAGGCCAGACCCAGGTTAACTGCCAGAATTTTGGAAGGGCTGAGCTGTGGGGAAGCACGGGACTTGGTTAGAAAGTGTGCAAGGTCCAAGGCCTCTGGAGAACCTTGCCGAAGGTGGCAGCACCTGCCTTGACTTTTCCAAACAAGTCTGGCCCCCCCTGCCCTCCCACCTGGGTATTTTACTAAAATCTTTTACATTTAGACTTCAAAACATCCTTGTTTGAAAAACACTGCTGGTGCTTTCTCAAGGATACTCGCTTTACTAATTGTATCTAGAGGTTAATTTTAGTTCAAGCTGTTGTGACAATAAAAGCCTAAGAAGGCAGGTGAACAAGGCTTTTTGCTCCTAAAGCAAAATAGCCCCTTAGCCTCTCTTTCACACAGTAATCTATTCAACATCGCTCGGGGTCTGCCAGTCAGCCCCGGCACTGAGCTAGACCCCCTTTCTGGGCCCTGCTTTCCCCCTGTAGTAGACTCTACCGAGGAGCACTTGACTGTAATTCCCTAGTGAATATATGGCAAGGTGCCTCATCCCATTCTGCACTCCCCAGTTATACACAGCGCATCGCATGGCAACAAGATGGGAGGAGGCAGAAGTGGAAAGCATGTTGAAAGATTCCTAATCCCTTGGCTAATGAGCCACCTAAGTGTAGGTCTGCTCTCCATTTCTGTGCTCAGGATTAGTTCTCGGGACTGGGTACATGCCAACCAAAGTTTTCTCTTTCTTGGCAACCCTCCGTGTTCCTTTCGGTCTTTCTCCCTCCCCCTACCTGGAGCTCTCTTGGGTGCATGCATGCACTCACATGTGTTCCCATGCACACGTTTGAACACAGCAGGCGTTTACATAAATGTCTATTAAATTAAAAGTATGCAGGTTTCATTAGGCTACCATCCATTCCACTTTTTGGATAATATGTGGGTTATGTCCTGATTGGGTATGTTCCTGAAAGGGAACTCTTGTTTTTCTGTAGCTGAGATGGGCAGTATTAAAACCTCTCTCCCTTTCAACACTTTTTGTGTATGTGTCCTCTCCTGTATTTCTCTCGGACTTGGCTGTAACTTTAGGTTTTGACATGTGCCAACATGACTTCCCTCTCACTCCTGAGGAAGTATTGCTTGTCAGTAGGCATTTTTCAGAGTAGAGGGTTCCATTGAAAAGTTACTGTCACCAACATTTTTCTATCTAAAAGATGAGTACCACTAGGGCAAAAGCATGTGTTATAAGTCCGTCTGTGGTGTGTTCTGATGGGAAACTTCTGATAGCTCTAACTTAAAAACAGGAAATATCTTAGCCTTGATTCGAGTAGGATGTGACCAAAAAGGATTTTCTTTTTCTGCAGATTTTCCTGGGCTTCTATCTTTTTCCTTTTCCCATCCCATTGTGCAAACATCCCACAAGACATATTATTCCACAGAGGGCTGGGTCGGGCCCGTGAACCATGAGTCCCTGTGTTGGCCAGCCCTGACCCTCTCTCTTGGGATGTGACCAGTTCTATGGGGGAGTCCTCACTGGCCACCTGCCAGCTGGTGTTGATGAGATCTGGATATAATGACCTCAACACTTTGCTTCTCGGAACCAGCAGATCATGATGTTTGCTCTTGGAGCTCCTAAGATCTGTGTAGGAAGATAAGGTTAGAACACGTGACACTGCCCTAGCCACTTTGGCTCAGTAGATAGAGCATCGGTATTTGGACTGAAGGGTCGTGGGTTTGATTTCGGTCAAGGGCACGTATCTCGGTTGCAATCTCAATCCCTGGTTGGGGCGCATGTAGGAGGTAACCAATCAATGTGTCTATCTCACATCGGTGTTTCTCTATCTCTCCCCCTCCCTTCCACTCTCTAAAAATCAATGGAAAAATATCCTTGGGTGAGGATTAACAAACAAACCAAATAACAACACGTAACACATGGATGGAATAAGGTAGGAAATTGAGCTGCCCAGAACATGAGTGCTTGTAAAGGCTTCCAGAAGGAGAAGTCAGTGAGCTGATGGAGGGTTCAGAAAAGACTTTTTGAGAAGATGGGACTTGAGCTCGTGTCTGAAGTGTGGCAAGAATTGAGAAGGAAAGGGCTTTGCAGGTGAAGAAGACACTAAGGTGGAACAAAGTCTCAGGGGAGAGGGGAAGACCAGCCTGCCACACTTCCATGGAACAGGCAGGGGAAATGGGACGTGAGGTTGGCGGGAAGCAGAGGCTGATTGTCCAAGGCCCTAGAAACTGATTTGTGGAGGTAGGAAAGAGGGAGCCTCTGGGGATCGATGAGAATAAAGGTGACACCTAACCTTGACATTTTTGAATTAAAATGATTATATTTTTATGATTATTCCTCTATTGCGATCCAGTTGTTCAATGGAAATGCACTTCAGAATTTGGAGTCCCAGATCCACAGGAAGTACCTTAAAGCAAACTATTTCTTACTACTGTTCCTATGTATGGCTCTGTCCCAAAGGGGCACTGTCTCATATTCTCTCTCTCTCTCTCTCTCTCTCTCTCTCTCTCTCTCTCTCTCTCTCTCATCCCTTAAGAATCAATCCAGAGAATATATAGAACCACTGGTCATGAAATGTGAGAAACCCTAGATTCAGCTCCTCGTCACTAACCAAGACTGCTTGCTTAAGGGCTGTTATTGAATTATTCTCTTTCAGTCCCAGAGTTTTTACTCACTTTTATTGTGCCTCCTATTATTATTTGTCACGTGGTACGAAGCTGAGAGAGTGGCTCAGAATAGGAGAAATAGAATTAGTTCAAGCAGAAGATCCTTAAAACCAGAATGTAGCATCTACCTCTAAAATTATATATTGACATAATATACAGTTAGGTTCTCTCTATACTTATTCTGACAGTAGGAATTCACTAATGAAAACGGTGCGTTGACTTCACACCCACAGTGATGGCTGGCCAGAGTGAGGTCAGCACGAAGTCATTCCAGGCCATATCATAGTAGCAGCTTGTGTGAACTCCTTGGAGGCACATCAGGATTCATGGTGAAGGTTAGATTTCTCCTATTCAGGCTTTGTGATTAAAAAAAAAAAAAAATTTCTTAAATTTTTAAGAAAAGCAAACAGGTGTCATCAATAACTTTGTCCCATTTTTTAAACAAGTCTGTCTAAATATGTTTACAGATATTTTTATATCAATATTAACTTTACGTCTTTCTGTTTGTGTCGCATTTCATGCTCCTCAAAGCACATCTGTTATCCCATTTGTCCATGTGGGCAGTTCCGTTGAACAGTGAGTCAGCTCAGTAGAAGGAAGAATCCATCTAAGCAGTTTGTTTAAGCTGGTGCGGGAGGGACAGAGGGCCCATGTCAGGACAAATCTATGAATGCTGCCTGGGAAGTGAGTGGTGGGTTGAGGGGAAGGGCTGGGCTAAGTGAAATGGTCTTCAGAAGATGCCTGTGCTTCAGATGGTTCCTTTTGTTTATTTTTTAAATATATTTTTATCGGTTTCAGAGAGGAAGAAAGAGAGAGAAACAGAGAGAGAGAGAGAAACATCAATGATGAGAGAGAATCATTGATCAGCTGCCCCCTGCTTGCCCCCCGATGGGGATTGAGCCCACAACCTGGGCATGTGCCTTTGACCGGAATCAAATCTGGGACCCTTCAGTCCACAGGCTGACGCTCTATCCGTTGAGCCAAACCAGCTAGAGCCAAATGATTACTTTTATTTATTTTTATTTTTATTTTTTAAAAATATATTTACTAGTTTTTTACAGAGAGGAAGGGAGAGGGATAGAGAATTAGAAACATCGATGATAGAGAAACATCGATTAGTTGCCTCTTGCACAGTCCCTACAGAGTATGTGCGCAACCGAGGTACATGCCCTTGACTGGAATCAAACCTGGGACCTTTTAGTCCACAGGCCAACGCTCTATCCACTGAGTCAACCCAGTTAGGGCATAAATGGTTACTTTTAAATATGCAAACCTTATATGCTGCTAAGATGATTTCCTTTCTGGTTTAGGAGAACAAAATTCAGTTTGGCAATTTAACAAGCATCAATGGATGTCAGGTTCCCATAGTCCAGAAGATTAGAGAATGCTTTAGTGAACTGAAACTGTGGGCAGGAACACTAGATAAGAGGTCTCATTATACAGTGAACACAGTTATAAATCACATGAAGGTTTGTACCCGGGCAGAATCGGTATTCGTACTTTGATAGCTAGCAGGCCAAAGATACAGAAACTTAATTAAATATCTTGACAGTAGTCAGCTTGTTTGTTCTCAATAATAATGCCAGGTAGGTCTTTAAAAATATACATATTAATTCAATCATTAATTGGATAGTTATTTGTTGAATGTAAACTGTGTGCTGGGTACAGTTCCAGATGTTGAAGATACAGCAGTGACACCCCCACCCCAAAATGTCCAGTCCTTCTTTCATGGAGATCCCATCCTAGTGGGAAGAGGTGGACAGGGAGGAAGATAAAGGAGTGAAGTAGCCAGTGTGTCAGACGGCCGTAGGTGCTGCAGGGGAAATGGAGACAGGAAGGTGGCGGGGAGGGTCGGAGGACCTGTCAGGGGAAGAGGCAGCAAGTCCACAAAGATAAGACATCCGTCAGAATGAGTGGCAGCCTGACCTTCACTGAGCCTTCGCTCCCCACCCAGGCTGTTATCTGAGAAGAAATGGTATTTTTTAAAATATATTTTTATTGATTTCAGAGGGGAAGGGAGAAGGAGAGATAGAAATAGCGAGGATGAGAATCATTGATCACTTGGCTCCTGCATGCCCCGTACTGGGGATCGAGCCTGCAACTTAGGCCTGTGCCCTGACTGGGAATCCAACCGGGGACCTCTTGGTGCCTGGGTTGGCGCTTAACTGCTGGCCAGACAGAAATAATAAAAGGTGGTCTTAACAATGGGGGGGGAAGGAGACATATGTAATACTTCAAACAATAACAAATTTAATTTTAATATATATATATATATATATATATATATATATATTGCCG